ATCGCGCAAGTTTAATTTCAGCGGGTCTTTGGATTCGCTAATCACCGCCCGATAATTAAGGAGGGCCCTTCGAGCGACAACGACGACGACGACGACAACGATGACGACGGCGACGAGAACAACTTAATCACACCTTTTAATCGGCACGTGTGTTTTTTCGAATCTCGGATCACGCTTTCGCCGCCGATTAACCAGTCATCAATGCCGAGTCCACAGAGCGTATTCAGTCAAATATAAAGATAGTAGAAATGCAACGTTTGAAAAGGTACATGGAACACATTATATAATTGAAATAATCGACAGTTTAATCATCAGTTATTTGACCGCTCATCTATGTGACCGATTAATCTATGTTTTTAAATCGGGATTTCTGTGAAGACTAGGACATGTGTAAAATTAGTGAATTTGCGAAGTCGGCCCTATAATCTGCAAACCACGCTTAGTTTCCACATCCGCTTTTATAAAAATTATTATTGAGAAGCTTGTCTCTATCCTTTTGTGAAAAAAAAGGGGGGGAAACAAATATAAAAGATAGTTTGGAAGCGGCGCGCGTTATGAAAAGTCGCGTTACCGTTCGCGATTTAATTGGTCGACGATCGCGCGGCAGTCGATCAGGGACAGAGCGAAAACGAGGAAAGCCCGATTTAATTGAGCTGAATGCATCGTCGAAACGCATCGGTACATCGAGAGGGAGAAAGAGCGCTGATCAATAAAGTGTAATAAATATAATTACAACGAGGGTGGAAGAGGTGGGAGGGCGGAGGAGAATGTTTTTTTATTCTCCCTGCGCGAGTGGAAAACGCGGAATTTATTATCGGGCACGAGCGCACGAGCGCGACCGTAAAACATCAGAGATTATAATCAATCTCGTCGATGATGATAAAAACCGCGTCGAGAGGCAAATTATTGTCGCGTCCGCATCGGTGATGCATTTTCCATTAGGACGAATAGACCCGGATAACGCAATATGCGTATTGGTATAAAATTACAAACAATTCTCAAAACATTGTTAAAACAATCACAATTTTTCGAGCAATTATAAGAATGGCAATGGAAACTACAGTTTCAAATATCCGAGAGTAGAAGAATTAGAATATAAAAGTTATAAACTTATAACATACGAATACATATTTCCTCCTATTTCGGACGATATTATTTGTTAGGAATTGAGACGATTTAGAAAATTTTCAATTAAATATTTTATAATACTTTATAATACATTTTGATAATTTTCAAATGTAGAATTTCTATATGAAATGTGGGACCAGAATGATTTACAATTAGTTAATATTGTTAATATTTTGTCTAAAAATTTACATCTCGATTTAATATAATTTGAATATTGAGATTATTACAAATGAGATTGCAATTAGATATTAATTTGTATTTTTCGATCCTTAATATAATCTCTTTTTCAGGATGGATGGACCGGCGGTGCTGTCAATGCCGCCGATACCGACTTCTTCACAAAAACCGGCACAGTCGCCGCAACCGCAATCACACCCGAAACAGAATCAGGTAATATAAATACACGAAAATATCCAAATCTCGCAATTAATGAAATAAAATTCTAAAAATAAAACTTAAGTCAATAAAAAGAAAGACTGCTCGAAAGAGAAATAAAAAAAGCTTTTTTTTTTTTAATTTTGGCTTACACAAATAAATTTGTATATTGATTCAGAAGTTTTTTTATATTATATGTTTTATATATTTGCTTAGATTTGTATCTTAGATTTGTATTCTTTTCTCGACAGGCAGAACCATATTACACGATATATTACACGACGCTTAAGCACTAAGTTAACTATAACCACTAGAATAGCTTTATGAATTGCCAGAATTATCTGCGATGGTAAACAGATAAGAAATCTAATCTGCGGCGGGGGAGCAAACGTCCCGCGATGAACCCGAATCAGAGGGCATCGTAGTACATCTAAACCGATAGGAGTTGCAGGTGGGTACCGTGTCGCTTTACGGGATCCACATCGTGTCGCTGGTGATCGAGGGCCAAGAGAGACTGTGCCTGGCACAGATCAGCAACACCCTGTTGAAGCAGTTCAGCTACAACGAGATCCACAATCGTCGGGTGGCGTTGGGCATCACCTGCGTACATGCACCCCCGTCAACTGGAGATACCTCCGTCGTGCCCGG